CCTGAAGAGCTACTTGGGACTGATTATAAGAACCTCTTCTTCCCCAATCGCCGACGACGAGAAAACTGAGTGAACCATCGGGTTTTGGTGGCTGGACCAACCGACGTAGCTCCGCCGTGGAATTAGAGGCGGATAATAAAATAATTAAACAGAAGATAGAAAATATGAATTCTATGGGATTATCTCTCAAGCTATCCATTGAGAGATTTTGGAAAAAAAAATAAGGTAAGGGGTGATGGTGGATTTTTGTTTGTGGCTTTGTGTATTTATAGTTAGGCCTATGTGGACATGCAATAATTTTGAAAATAAAATAAAATAATACTTTAGTGTAATAACGTTGAAGTTTATTTATCGCTCATCATTTCTATCTTCATGATAAGGACTTGCAACAAAAAAAAACTAAACAATTTTGCCTTTACTGTTTCAAAATTTTCTATAACAACAAAAATTCGATAACTCTCTTAAAATGTTTTTTTTTTTAAATTCCTCTAAGTTTAAAAAAGAAAGAGAAATTTCAAAAAATGTCACTTTCAAATACCACTTTACAAAAATGCCACACTTTTGAAATCTTTACAAAAATGCCACTTTTTCAAAATTATTTTTTCTTTATATCATTTATGTTTGAGTTAATTATGTTCTATTAGGGTTTAGTTATGAAGGTTTAGGGGGTTTTAGGGGTCAAAACATTTTTTAGGGTTTAGAATTTTAAGATATAAGCTTTATAAATCTATAATTAGTGGCATTTTTGCAAATGAACACCCCTAAGTGGCATTCTTGCAAATGTGCACACAAAAAGTGGCATTTTTGTAATTGTCCCAAAAAAAAAACCTCCCTTCATAATTTTTTTTTTTTTAATTTTGGAAAATTTCCTTCAAGGTTATGTTATTTTTTAAAGGAAGACAAAAATAAAAACGAAAGTATTTTTTAGCCTGCCGTTAATATATTAGCATGGAATTCATCCAATTTAATGGAAGGACTTGAATATTAAAGTGGACTTTAGACAACTACGTGAAAATAATTAAGGTAAAAGTCTCACGTAAACGAAAAGGGACGGTGGATGGAAATTAGGCGTTAATGTTTCATATATAGGTGACGTGGCATATATTAGGCGTTAATGTTTCATATATAGGTGACGTGGCATATATTGTTCCACATAGTGACTAGGAGTGTT